AAATTGAATATTTTGTTTACTATGTTTTTATTTTTTAATGTAGAGAAGTTCATAAGTATCACTAAATGTGTTTTAAATGTTTGTATGCTAATAGTTCCTTTCATATTTTAACATTAACAAATCAGAAAAATATTTATTTGAACACAATGAGATGATATATTAGAAAGAACCTGGATATTTAGAGTCAGAGCTGGGTGAGTTCAGATATTGACTCTGCCACTAACTAGCTGTGCAACTGTAGGTGAGTAACTTGACCTCTCTTAGATTTTGTTTTTCACGTTCACAAAAAGGAGTAGTAATACCTGCCTAGAAGGGTTGTTGAAAAGGATTTTATACATCAATTTTTTCAACACCTAAGCATTTCTAAATCTTACAACTCTATAACATGAGCATTGAAATAAACAAAACTCTCCTTCACCCAGTTATCCTACAGTTGTCAATGTTTCAAAAATGTAGTGCCAGAATTAAAATACAAACAGAACAAAATGTGACACCTGAAATAAAATGCAAATATGAAAAAATAATAGACAAAATTTCTGAAGTCCTTATTTATCTCTTATTGCCCTGTAGCACTGATCATCTGCTTCTGGGAGGCCCTAGGTGTTAAGTGTGTGTTAGACGGCTGGACCCCAAGAATATGAGTCACCGTATGGTTACAACGGGATGAGCATCTCTTGGAATCTAGTCACTAAAACTGCTTCTTGAAAACTGAACAACAGCCATGAAGCTTCAGAAAACGCCCACCTCCAGAGTCCCTGCTACTAAAAGGAGGACTGGTTAGACCTGGGCAATACCAATGTAATCACCAAAACCAGTGTCTCCTGCAGATCCAGAAGCTGATCAAAGATGGCCTGAACGCCGGCAAGCCTGTGACTGCTCATTCTAGGATTGAGGCCAGGAAAATACCTTGGCTCCCTGAAAGGGCAGCCGTATGAGCACAGGTAAGCAAAAGGGGATGGTCAATGCTCAACTGCCCAGGAAGCTAATTTGAGTGTGAAGGATGAGATTTCTGCAACCGCTGCTCAGAAAATGCTGTGGATCTAGTTTAACTGTATGTGTTTCATAGCCCATACTTGAACACAAAGGGAAATGGGTTCAAAATCAAGTGGATTCTCGTGGAACATGTCTATATGCTGAAGGCCTACAAGGGCTTCTAGCTGACTAGGCTGAAGCTCATAGGTCTAAGATCAAAGGAGCAGGTAAGTACCACGAGGAGCCCCTCCAGACCAAGAAGGAGAAGATCATCAAGACTAAAACAAGAAATAAATCTTCCCTTCTCTTGTCTTTACATAGTGGCTTCATCAATTATATAAATCGATCATTCAATAAAACAAGTCTACCTGCCTGAGAAGGAAAACAATGGTACCATTTGCTTTTCTGTCAACTCTGGTCATCCTGATCATTCAGCTAAGTAAACATCTATGTCGTTTTCACATGAGCTACTATTTAATAAGATTTCCTCTATTGATAACATATTGATCTACTAATCTGAAATATGGGATTTTATGTTTAGTTTTACTTACTTTTTTTTTTTTTTTTTTTTTTTGAGACGGAGTTTCGCTCTTGTTACCCAGGCTGGAGTGCAATGGCGCGATCTCGGTTCACCGCAACCTCCGCCTCCTGGGTTCAGGCAATTCTCCTGCCTCAGCCTCCTGAGCAGCTGGGATCACAGGCACGCGCCACCATGCCCAGCTGATTTTTGTGTTTTTAGTAGAGGCGGGGTTTCACCATGTTGACCAGGACGGTCTCGATCTCTTGACCTCGTGATCCACCCGCCTCGGCCTCCCAAAGTGCTGGGATTACAGGCGTGAGCCACCGCGCCCGGCCTAGTTTTACTTACATTTAATGATATTAACTTTAGCCTATTTCATTTAATGTGTCAAGTTGTGTTGACCCTGCTTCTATCACTCAGCATGCTAATTAGTCCTTTGAGATTTGTGAAATTTCTACATCTAATTAAATGTAAAATTGAAGGCAGCTAAATTTTGGCTTAGAAAAAGGGGAAAGAGGACGTGACTGAATACAATACCTTATGTCATATCACCAAGAACTTTTGCTAAATGTTTCCCAATCCAATAAATAGCCTTCTTTGATTTTCAGATGCGAACTGGCCTAGGGTATCAGCCAGGCCAAATGTCTGCATCTTGTCACGAAGAGATCATAAAGTCTTCGGCTGTATTTGGGCATCTTCCTCCAGTATTCTTTAAACATTATGAACAGCGTTGCTAAGGCACTTCCGGAAGTCGTTATTTCAACTGAAGAATAAAGCTCAGTTAGCCATGCACCTGTATCCTGAGGTAAATCATCTAGCACGCTTGGGTTTGGTACTACCCTACTGGGGCGTCCCTGCTACGGTACTTGGGTTTCTCTGTGAATATTTGAGGGGGTTTTGTTGACATATGATTTCCTCTGTGGTAGACTTCAGTTGCTCTGCTTTCTTCCCCTCCTTGGTAAATGTTACATTTTTTGTCCTATTAGTGTCTGTCTCCCCACATACTTCTCTCTTCAAAACTCTTTTTGTTGGTCTTAGCTTTAAAAATGCATATATATTACCTGAACACACAGGAAAGCTTGTATTTTCTGATATTCTTTTTTTCGAGTATCGCTCTCGTCACCCAGGCTGGAGTGCAGTGGTGCCATCTCAGCTCATTGCGCCCTCCACCTCCCGGGTTCAAGCAACTGTCCTGCTTCAACCCCCCAAGTAGCTGGGACTACAGGTGCACCCCACCAGTCCTGGCTAATATTTTATATTTTTTGTAGTGATGTGGTTTTGCCATGTTGGCCAGGCTGGTCTCAAACTCCTGGCCTCAGATAATCGACCCACCTTGGCCTCCCAAAGTGCAAGGATTACGGGTTGTGAGCCAGTGTGCCTGGCCCCATGTTTTTTTTCTACAAATTGCTAAAGTCAGTTTTAAGCAGTCAGATAGTAATATTTATTAATAATATCAAACCACAAGAACAGAATGTTTGTTCATTTTGTGCTGCCGTAAAGGAATACCTGAGGCCATATAATTTATAAAGAAAGGAGGTTTATTTGGCTGACAGTTGTACAAGAAGCATGATGCCACCATCTGCTCCTGGTGAGGGTCTCAAAAAGCTTTTACTCATCACGGAAGGCAAGGGGAGCGAGCATGTCACATGGCAGGAGGGGGAGCAAGACCAAGAGGGAAGGGAGGTCCCAGAGGCTTTTTAACAATCAGATCTGCCGGGCACGGTGGCTCACGCCTGTAATCCCAGCACTTTGGGAGGCCGAGGCGGGTGGATCACAAGGTCAAGAGATCGAGACTATCCTGGCCAACATGGTGAAACCCCGTCTCTACTAAAAATACAAAAAATTAGCTGGGCATGGTGGTGCGTGCCTGTAATCCCAGCTACTCAGGAGGCTGAGGCAGGAGAATTGCCTGAACCCAGGAGGCGGAGGCTGCGGTGAGCCGAGATCGCGCCATTGCACTCCAGCCTGGGTAACAAGAGCAAAACTCCATCCCAAAAAAAAAAAAAAGAAAGAAAAGAAATGAAATCAGATCTGCCATGGAGTCATTACCACAGGGAGGGCACCAAGCCCTTCATGACCCAAACAGCTCCCGGTAGGCCCCACCTCCAATACTGGAGATCAAATTTCAACATGAGATTTGGAAAGAGCAAATATCCAAACCATATCAAACAGGGATAGTTTATTCATCTGTATTCAGCACTGTTTGGGCCTAGGTGGAATGATAGAATCCTGGAATGTTTATATGGAAGAATATATTAGCTCATCCAGAAATACCCAAACTCAACATCTCCCAGTAAGTAAAGTCTGTATCTTTCAGATTTACTGTCTTGTAGATTTAATAATAACAGTAATACCTCAGATTTCATTGAACTTGTTCATCTGCTCACATAGGATCCTAATCTCCTGAAAATTTCCCCAAATTTTGGAGGGAGTTGAGGTAACGTTTTACATATAATGTGAAAAAAAAATATTAATTTTCTGGTGAGTTATCACTTTCTTCCTTCTTTACCTGCAGTAACTTCATAGGCTGGATACTGCAGAGCGTCCCGGCTGCTGCCTCCCCGGGATGCTGCGTGATGGTCCTGGGAACGCTCACATGCCAAGCAATGCAGGAGTCTGTGGAGAAGCTGCAGAGACCGTTTCCTTTTCCTCTCCTATTAGAGCGTTCCCAGTAGCGCCATTTATGGAATTTTTACTGAAACAGCTTTTTTTTTTTTTTTGGGACGGAGTTTCGCTCTTGTTACCCAGGCTGGAGTGCAATGGCGCGATCTCGGCTCACCGCAGCCTCCGCCTCCTGGGTTCAGGCAATTCTCCTGCCTCAGCCTCCTGAGTAGCTGGGATTACAGGCACGCGCCACCATGCCCAGCTAATTTTTTGTATTTTTAGTAGAGACGGGGTTTCACCTTGTTGACCAGGATGGTCTCGATCTCTCGACCTCGTGATCCACCTGCCTCGGCCTCCCAAAGTGCTGGGATTACAGGCGTGAGCCACCGCACCCGGCCTGAAACAGCTTTTTAGGAATGTACATAAACCCTTGCTACGCAAAGTGTGGGCCTTGCACCAACAGCAGTGGGCAGCATTGTTAGAAATGCAGACTCTCAGTTCTCCACAATCAGAATCTGCATTTTAACCACAGCCCCAGGTGATTCATATGCAAGTTACTCTTTGAGAACCACTGACTTAAAGCACCTCTCTCTTCTTGGGACTAAGGCATTAAATCCAACTGGGGCCGGGCGCGGTGGCTCAAACCTGTCATCCCAGCACTTTGGGAGGCTGAGGCGGGTGGATCACGAGGTCAAGAGATCGAGACCAACCTGGTCAACATGGTGAAACCCCGTCTCTACTAAAAATACAAAAATTAGCTCGGCATGGTGGTGCACGCCTGTAATTCCAGCTACTCAGGAGGCTGAGGCAGGAGAATTGCTTGAACCCAGGAGGCGGAGGTTGCAGTGAGCCGAGATCGCGCCATTGCACTCCAGCCTGGATAACAAGAGTGAAACTCCGTCTCAAAAAAAAAAAAAAAATCCAACTGGGGACAAGAGCAGTGCTGGGTCAGGGAATAAAAGTTCTCAGGAGGCTGCTTCACTCATCACTGCCTCAAGAGGTAGACCTTGGTGACCTGCCACTTCTACTTAGGTTCAAGCAGATTCATCATGAGAAATCTTGTGCTTCACTTACACACCAAATATGTTTTTTATTTAATCAACATTGTTTCAGCATATATCATTTGCAAAACACTCCATGATGGCTGTACATACACCAAAACAAGTGAAACAGTCTTTGCCCTCAAAGGATGCCAATTAAGGTATATGTTGCGGCAGGTGGGGACCTTTGGGATACAGTATAAGGAGGGGCCAAAGGTTCCCGGCTGGAGAAGTCTTCTACAGATCGGAGAAACCACGAACACCTCTCATATTTACAGCCTGCCTAGCTTGTTTTCCAGCTGGAATACCCTTCTCCCATTTCCACTTCTCTACATTCTTGTTCTGTTTCCAAGACCAATTTATTAATTAAATCTGCCCTATTATATTGGCAAGACCAGCTCCCAATACATCAATGTGGGTTTAAGATCTCTCAAAGTGATCAAGTGGTCGATAAAAGAGAGAGTCAAGAAAAAAATTTTCCTTAAAGCTGGGCCCAGGGAAGACACCACATAATGCTGCTCCCTGGGTGTCTGACATTCTCCTGAAAACCTGTTTTTTATTGTGCTCTTTCAATAGGAGAGGGGGAGCAAGGTTATGCAAAGTTTCAGTGATAATTATACAAAAAGAATACATTTGCAAAAACTGGCACAGAAAAATCACAACGTGGTATTAATAAAAGCAGAACAATGTAAAAATAACTGTGTGTCAACATAGAAATCAAACATCTTAGCAAGAATATAGATTAAACTTAACCTTATGATTATCAGCAAAAACCTATTGGGCTCCCAGCTACGAGGAGAACAGGATCTGACACAGGACAAGCAGCCTGACCATAAAAACTGCAAGAGGAGGGGGCTTCACGCAGGCCTGGAGGAGCAGCGGGAGAAGAAAGACTTTGACATCCTTATCTCCGCCACAGAGACAGAGGCCCCTCATCCGTTGATAGGCTCTCCATAAGGGTTGCGTTCCCTTTCCAGGGCCATAATCAACGTGCCTTTCCTGGGAAGGAATCCAGGTAATAAACCTCTCCATTGCACGTCCGTTTATAGGCTCTCTCTGCAACCAGAAGCCCATGATGCGCTGTCATCTCTCCTGGCAGTCAAACTACGTGGTTAGTCCCTTTCACAGAGTTCCTGTTTTTACCAGAACAGTTCACCAGAGCCAAAGTTACACACTGACGCTCAGCAGAGCCAAAGTTACAAGTCACTGCTCAGCATTTCACATTGTCCTTCATTTTTTCAAATATAATTGGTACAGTAACAAGCATCACAAAGCAAATAACTCATTTCAGGACAACCAAATTCTAAGAGAATTTACAGGTTAAAAATCAACAACAATTTCTTCTTGTTATTTCAGATAGCTCGGGTTTTGCCAATTCTTCCAGAAGCTTGGGGTTGCTCAGTGACCGCAGAGGGGTTCAGAGTACTCCCAGCACCATTCCCCTTGCTGAATATACTGTTGACATCTGAGAACTCCCATTGTATCCCACCTTGAGATAATTATGTGTGTTGGGGTCTTACGGAGAAAGGAGGGAGATGTATGGTCCCTCATAGACAAAATGCATTTTAGCCAGTCTTTTTAGATTTGCCATTGGATCCAGGATGCCTTGCCGTAACACTTTCTGAAGAAAGGAAAACAATTAAAGGTAACGCCTCCTTTCTGTTCATACCTTACTCTTCATGAAAGATAACAGCCTTCTCAAACCACTATCAGAGAGAAGAAGAGAGAAAACACGGGACACTGACTGGGATAGTGAGAGCACTAACCTCTTTTTTCTTCGCTCTTTTCTCTGACTTGATTGCTTCTCTCATCTGGAAACAATGTGCTCATTGGTAGATTAGTAGCTGTTAATCTCAGCTGAAGGGAATTTCATCTTATAAGAAGTGGGATGGCTATATTCCCGTTAGTATTTAAGAAATCCCTTACCGTAGTAGGTGTTACTTCTTATGGCTGGATTTCCCTAAAGCTGAGATGGAACACCAGGTCCAAGTTCCCTTGTCTGAAGAGTGTACAGTTGCTATTAACCGACTAGCAGCTTATGAGCTGCTTGTCAGTGATGTTTATTTATCCATGGTTAGTATGGGTTCTTGAGCAACTGAGGGGAATATTTTAGCTCTGCTCTGGGTGAAAATATATCTTCTATCTCCTTAATAATAGTGGTTATGACCAGATTGGTGGTCAAATACCAGACGAAGCAGCGATTCCATGGTTGGGATATTGCTTCTCTGCAGCCCTAGGATTACAAGCTGTGGGCTTTGATAGGGAAAGTTACAGTTCTCTCCAGTGTGTTCCAAAACTACACGGGCATCAAACACTGGCGACAGACTGAATAAACAGTTTTATACCGATACGCTATTTCAAAATTGATATGGATGTGTTAGGACTGATGAAATGTGTTTTTAAAATGTAAATTTATGCTATACTTGTCATATCTACAAAATTAGAAGATATGAGTGCTCGCATCTAAGTTAAAAAATATGACCCTTAAAGAGGCCGTAAGAGTAAAACATTAGGCACCAGCATTTGGGGACTGCATAGCTGATCTTTGAGGTAGACTAGGTTCTGGAGTACAGCTAGAGCCTTCTGGAGGTCAAAGAACAAAGAGCCCCCAAGACTGACCAAAGAAGGCCTTTTCCCAGACAACCGCTGAGACAACAAAGTGAGTTTTTGTGGGAGTCGGGTCTTAAAAACTACTTTCTCTCACCCTCAGCCTCCCCCTCCTATGTTTGACCAGGCCTGCTATTACACTGAAGATACGGGAATACCTCCTTTTGCCCACTTCTTCTCGGAGCAGACTGAGATCAAAAGGGAGGACGCAAAGCGGTTCCTAAGATATCTAAGAAAACGTGAGAGTATGATCTGCCTTCCGCTTATTAAGGTGAACGTCAGACTTTATTATGACCTCTGTGGGGCCTTTGCCAGGTCTAAAGAATTAAACTAAACTGGTTAGTTGCTACTAACTTGTTAGGTTACTCATGTTCCCACGTGGGCTTCTTAGCAACTAACTGATGTTAAGAACAAGTATATGTCAACATCATTTGGGGTACATTTCAGTCACTAAATGCTTGTTTGGCTCGTCTTTTTTTTTTTTTTTTTTTTTTTTTTTTTGAGATGGAGTTTCGCTCTTGTTACCCAGGCTCGAGTGCAATGGCGCGATCTCGGCTCACCGCAACCTCCGCCTCCGGGGTTCAGGCAATTCTCCTGCCTCAGCCTCCTGAATAGCTGGGATTACAGGCACGCGCCACCATGCCCAGCTAATTTTTTGTATTTTTAGTAGAGACGGGGTTTCACCATGTTGACCAGGTTGGTCTCGATCTCTTGACCTTGTGATCCACCCACCTCGACCTCCCAAAGTGCTGGGATTACAGGCTTGAGCCACCGCGCCCGGCCTGGCTCGTCTTAATGAGCTTCACAAAATGTGGCCTCTGGGTTGTCAGTATCACCTGGAGACTCATTAGAAATGCAAATTTATGGCTCTCACCCCAGACATAGGCCCCAAGAGCTATAGCTTAAGCTCTTCAGGTGATCCTAATGGTATGTGTAGTTCTAGACGCTCTATTCCAGGCGTCCCCAAACTTTTTACACAGGGGGCCAGTTCACTGTCCCTCAGACCGTTGGAGGGCCGCCACATACTGTGCTCCTCTCACTGACCACCAATGAAAGAGGTGCCCCTTCCTGAAGTGCGGCAGAGGGGGAGGGGGGATAAATGGCCTCAGGGGGCAGCACGAGGCCCGGGCCGTAGTTTGGGGACGCCTCTAATGCCTTGTTACCAGAGATATTAGCATCCTACTTCAGATTGTTAATCTAAATCAGATAGATGTTCAGGTATTTAATATGGCTGTCTCTTTAAAGCAGTGAAACAAACTTTTTTTTTTGCCCGGGCACACACTCCAACCAACCTGAAACTAAGCTGGGAATATTACATCCAGGACATACCTAATTTTCCTAAGGTGTTTTTTTTGTTTGTTTGTTTTGTTTTTAACTCCAGCTTTATAAAAAGAAGTAAATGTCTGCTAATAACAGTTGGACCACCATCATAGAATTCCAAAGCTAATGGAATACTTGTAATTACGTGTATCTGAGCTAGTAGTACCCTTGCTCTTTAGCACATTAAAATCACCTGGGAATCTTTTAAAAATCATGATGCCCATGTTGCATCCCATGCCCCAATTAAGTCACAGGGTCTGTGGTTGAGAGCCACGCATTAGCATTTAAGATTCTCAGCTGATTCCGTTGCATCTCAAAGTTTGGAGACCATTACGTCGTGCAAATCTAGTCATGGTCCTACACAGGAAGCAGAATGCAGCAAAACCATGCCTGAAGTAGAAAAGTGACTTTCCTATTCCTCTCCAACAGAGGCCTGGCATAGATAACTGGTCAAGTGGCTTACAAGCCCTGAGATGTGCTGTGCAGATGGAGAACACATTAACCAATATCCTACAAGACCTGAAAGCCAGAGCTTCTAAGGATGAAGAAATGGAGGTAAGTAGTTAACTGGTTCTGACAAACTGTTATCTTTCACTTCTGGATTATCATTTGCTTCTGGGAAATACGACCAAGGCAACAGATCATACAACATGTGTTTGTTTGCCTCCAAGGAAGTCTGGGAACTTATTTCTAGGAGTAGTTTGGGATTGGGAAGACAGTTGTCTGGTAAGGAAAAATGAAACTTAGTATACGGTGAAAACATCTTCCCAGGAGTAATGCACTCTATAAAATTAAACCAAATGGTTTTGTTGCTGCTGGCTTATAAATCTCCTAAACCAGAAACGCTTTAGATTTACTGAGCACAAGAATCCCTTGGAGGGCTTACTCAAACAAACTTCTAGGGCTTACCCCCAGAAGTGTTTTATTGGGTTGGTTTTATACGGGTCTCAAGAATGTATTTCTAACAAGTCTGGGTGGTGATGCTGCTGGCTGATGGCCACAGTTTGAGAACTGCTGTCCTAGACTGTCACTGCAAAAGTTGATGTTGATGGTGGCCTGTTACGATACAGACTTCTCTGAACTGTATCAACTCTAGATACATATTGGACTCAATGAGGAGCTCTGAAATGGCACAAGTCCCTGAACCTGATGCGAGATCAATTAAATTTCAATCTCTAGGAATGAGGTCTGGGGAGCTACTCAAAATCTCTGATTCAAATAAGCAGGACTGAAAACCATTGCAGTAGTAGCCTGTTACTCAAAATAACCCGTACTTTTTTTTTTTTTTTTTGAGACGGAGTTTCGCCCTTGTTACCCAGGCTGGAGTGCAATGGCGCGATCTCGGCTCACCGCAACCTCCGCCTCCTGGGCTCAGGCAATTCTCCTGCCTCAGCCTCCTGAGTAGCTGGGATTACAGGCACGTGCCACCATGCCCAGCTAGTTTTTTGTATTTTTAGTAGAGACGGGGTTTCACCATGTTGACCAGGATGGTCTCGATCACTTGACCTCGTGATCCACCCGCCTCAGCCTCCCAAAGTGCTGGGATTACAGGCTTGAGCCACCGCGCCCGGCCAATAACCCGTACTTTTGACGCGACAACCTAATACTCATACCCATTGGAAGTAGATGCTTCTATTCACTCAAAGGTCTTGAATATCTTAGATTGGGGTTGTTGGATCTTCAGTATGCATATGAATCACCTAGTCTCTTTTTTTTTTTTTTTTGAGACAGAGTTTCGCTCTTGTTACCCAGGCTGGAGTGCAATGGCGCGATCTCGGCTCACCGCAACCTCCACCTCCTGGGCTCAGGCAATTCTCCTGCCTCAGCCTCCTGAGTAGCTGGGATTACAGGCACGCGCCACCACGCCCAGCTAGTTTTTTGTATTTTTAGTAGAAACGGGGTTTCACCATGTTGACTAGGATGGTCTTGATCTCTCGACCTCATGATCCACCCGCCTCAGCCTCGCAAAGTGCTGGGATTACAGGCTTGAGCCACCGCGCCCGGCCCACCTAGTCCCTCTTAAAATGGTTGGTTTAGTAGATCTGGGGTGGAACCTGAGATTTTGAATTTCTGACATGCTCCTGGTACTGCTGGTCCCTGGGCTAGAAGATGGGTGGCTTCTTGCTGTAGACATGGTCCTTACTGTGGGTGCTTCCTTGTTTTATTTCTATAGCTCGTAAACATCGTAATGGAGTTCCTACATAAACAGGGAGTAAACGTAGCTTTTTTGGAGCACCATCAGAAGATACTAGAAGAGTGTCTCCAACAGAAAGACCCGTCTGAAAATTCTGCTGAGACAACAGGTGAAGAGACTTAACTTCTGAAGGCAGCACAGCAAGTCTTCCCATTGTAGTGATCCCAGGGTCAGCTACTTAAGTCCTGATCAGTTCCACTTGCCTGAAGACTGCTTTCCTTTTTACATAGTTTCCTAACCCTCTTCGCTACGCATGCAAATAAATCTGCTTTGCATTATAATTATGTGTAAGCAGATTGTGCTCCAACGGCAGTGTGGATTTGGTATAAAAAGCTTCCTGAGGCCGGGCGCGGTGGCTCAAGCCTGTAATCCCAGCACTTTGGGAGGCCGAGGCAGGTGGATCACGAGGTCAAGAGATCGAGACCATCCTGGTCAACGTGGTGAAACACTGTCTCTACTAAAAATACAAAAAATGAGCTGGACATGGTGGCGCATGCCTGTAATCCCAGCTACTCAGGAGGCTGAGGCAGGAGAATTGCCTGAACCCAGGAGGCGGAGGTTGTGGTGAGCCGAGATCGTGCCATTGCACTCCAGCCTGGGTAACAAGAGCGAAACTCCATCTCACACAAAAAAAATCTTTCCTCTACCATACCCCTACCCCACCTTGACACCCAGAGTCAGGATTTGGTAAATGCGAGCAGTACAAGTGGATATACTAGAAATTAAGTGGTGAAACCTTACCTCTTAATGTTCTCTTCTTACTTGTATATGTACTTTAAATTTATAATAGGGGTTCCTTCATATTAAATGCAGAGCTAAGATTAAAATCTATTCTTGGTCTAGAAAGGGTGACCTTCACTGGCAGGATGTGCAGTGCCTTTTCATAGTCAGGGGTAGGTGTGGGCAGCAGGAGGGTACACAGAAGTAATTAATGCATTGCAGCTAAATGTGTGGATGCTTTTATCCATTGCACTGCAAGCTAATTAGCTGCTAATGTAATTATTTTCAGGAGCAAAGAATGAGCATGCCAGCTTCAATCAGGTTTCTCAGGGCCTCAAATGACTGCTACCCCCTAGGAAGAAATAGGGGCTCAGGGGGATTGTCTGTAGGCTCCGAAACTTATTAACTCCTTGGCCTTGAGTATTTACCTCTTTAGTGCCTCAGTTGGGTCATCTGTAAAGTGAAGTATATTAGGATTTTCTAGAGGCACAGAATTAATCGAATAGATATATAAAGGGGATTTTATTAAGTATTACCCCACATATCACAAGATCCCACAATAGGCTGTCTGCAGGCTGAGAAGCAAGGAGAGACAGTCCAACTTCCAAAACGGAAGAACTTGGAGTCCACATCTGGTGTCGCAGCTGCAATGGGAGTCCCCACTTGGTTAAGCTTACAACAATCTGCTGTCATTCTCAAGATCCATCTGTCTTCTGCACAGGCCATATGGGAGAGTTGAATCGGGATGTGGTGGGAATCCTCACCCCTGCGTCTTTCCAGTCCTTGATGGTGGCACTAATCTCGACAATCCCTCCAGAGATGTGACATTGTTTGTGATTTACTATTCTTGTAGAGAGAGGCAGCTCTAATGGCTTCCATTTGACCTTTCCCACCTTAATACTTCTCACCCTACCAGTCAGGGAGCCATTGTGGGGGTTCTGCCAGCTGCTAATTATGTCTATGCCAATTATGCCTACTGGCACTGGGGAAATGACCATGACCACAGGATGAGTCTGGGGACCCACTGGACCTACTGTAAGTCGGACTTGAGCTAAAACTCCATTACTTCCCTGACCTCCATAAGCCCTTACTTTAACTGGAGGACCAACAATGATGTTTTGGGTCCCCCGGAATCAATGTCAACCCAGAGCCAGTGTCCAGTAGTCTCCAAAATGTCTGATCATGGCCGGGCGCGGTGGCTCAAGCCTGTAATCCCAGCACTGGGAGGCCGAGGCGGGTGGATCACGAGGTCAAGAGATCGAGACCATCCTGGTCAACATGGTAAAACCCCGTCTCTACTAAAAATACAAAAAATTAGCTGGGCATGGTGGCGTGTGCCTGTAATCCCAGCTACTCAGGAGGCTGAGGCAGGAGAATTGCCTGAACCCAGGAGGCGGAGGTCGCGATGAGATGAGCCGAGATGGCGCCATTGCACTCCAGCCTGGGTAACAAGAGCAAAACGCCATCTTAAAAAAAAAAAAAAAAAAAAAAAAAGCCAAAATATCAAAGTAAAAGTGGGAAATCTAAGAGGTAACCAAAAAGCAAAGCCAGCATTTGCCTGAGGACACATTCAAACCCCCTCCCACACCTAGTGACTTTGAGTTTCTGCTTTCATGAATGCTCGATTCTGGTGACATAAAGCTTCCATCAACATTGGAAGTCTAGTTGGACCACGCCTGCATAAAGCTGGTAGATAAATAATGGTCTCCAAAAATGTCCATGTTGGCTGGGCGCAGTGGCTCACGCCTGTAATCCCAGCACTTTGGGAGGCCGAGGTGGGTGGATCACGAGGTGAACAGATCGAGACCATCCTGGTCAACATGGTGAAACCCCGTCTCTACTAAAAATACAAAAAATTAGCTGGGCATGGTGGCGTGTACCTGTAATCCCAGCTACTCAGGAGGCTGAGGCAGGAGAATTGCCTGAACCCAGGAGGTGGAGGTTGCGGTGAGCCGAGATCGCTCCATTGCACTCCAGCTTGGTGCCTGGTGACAAAACAAGACTCTATCTAAAAAAAAAAACAACAAAAAAACAAAAAACAAAGTCCATGTCTGAATTCCCAGAACCTACAAATATGTGGTTACATGGCAAGGGAGAATTAAGTTAGTTTGCAGATAAAACTAAGGTTGCTAATCAGCCGACTTTAAAATAAACAGATTATCCTGGATTATCCAGTGGACTCAGTGTAAACAGACAGGCTCTGTAAGTGCGGAAAAGGGAAGTCGGAGGTTAAGAGTCAGAGAGATTTGAAGATGCCATGCTGCTGACATTGAAGATGGAAAAAAGACTGTGAGCCAAGGAATGCACGTGGCCTTTAGAAACTGAGCAGGGAGAGGAAACAGATTCCACAATGCAGCCTCCGGAAGCTATGCAGACTTGCTGACCCTGATTTCAGCCAGCCCAGACTTCTGACTTTTAGAACCATAAGATTATACATTTGCATTGTTACTAGTCACTAAATTGGAAGTAATACAGAGCCCAAAGGGATAATATATCTTCAATACACAAATGTTGGAAGACATTACGGTTATGAAGAAAACAAAATAATCTATATAATAAATGTTAAGATGAAACACAAAAACATATCCAACCTACTCAGGAGTTCGAACATTCTTACTAATTGAATTTGATTTAATGAAATTAAAACTGTCATCTGCAAAAAATAAATAAATAAAACAAATAAAGAAAAAAAAAGCCGGGCGCGGTGCCTCAAGCCTGTAATCCCAGCACTTTGGGAGGCCGAGGCAGGTGGATCACGAGGTCAAGAGATCGAGACCATCCTGGTCAACATGGTGAAACCCCGTCTCTACTAAAAATACAAAACATTAGCTGGGCATGGTGGCGCTTGCCTGTAATCCCAGCTACTCAGGAGGCTGAGGCAGGAGAATTGCCTGAACCCAGGAGGCGGAGGTTGCGGTGAACTGAGATCGCGCCATTGCACTGCAGCCTGGGTAACAAGAGCGAAACTCCATCTCAAAAAAAAAAAGCTGGGTGTGGTGGCTCACACCTGTAATCCCAGCACTTTGGGAGGCTGAGGTGGGCGGATCACCTGAGGTAAGGAGTTCAAGACCAGCCTGACCAATATGGTGAAACCCCATCTTTAAAAATAATAATAATAATTTTAAAAGAAAGAAAGAAAAAAAAAAACCTGTCATCTGCTCGACTATCGCAGTGGCTCACGCCTGTAATCCCAGAACTTTGGGAGGTCCAGGTGCCTGTAATCCCAGCTGCTTGGGAGGCTGAGGCAGGAGAATCACTTGAACCAGGGAGACAGAGGTTGCAGTGAGACAAGATCACGACATTGCATTCCAGCCTGGCGACAGTGTGAGATTCCGTCTCAAAAAAAAAAAAAAGTGTCATCTGCCTCTGCGAAAGGCAGGGCAAGATGATTAACAATTTTATTTACTGGAAAAGGAAGAGCTGAGTCACTATGCCTGAAGCATGAAAATATCTTGTGTCATTCTGCAGAATGCAGAATCTTATAGATGCCCCTCCCAGCAATGAGTTCCTTCCCATCTTTCAGATTCTTCGATCATGCATCCCAAATAGAAGAAATGGGTTTAGTAAGTCAAGAAAATAATTTTAATTTTATGACATTCAAAATATGAATTATGAGGATTATCTGAGGAACAGTCCAGTGAACTTCACAGAGTAAAAGAACCCAGGACCCCTCTTGAGTCTTTTTTTTTTTTTAAAGTGCTGTCGCTTCCACATATTAAGAAGTGTTACATCGGCCGGGCGCGGTGGCTCAAGCCTGTAATCCCAGCACTGGGAGGCCGAGGCGGGTGGATCACGAGGTCAAGAGATCGAGACCATCCTGGTCAACATGGTAAAACCCCGTCTCTACTAAAAATACAAAAAATTAGCTGGGCATGGTGGCGTGTGCCTGTAATCCCAGCTACTCAGGAGGCTGAGGCAGGAGAATTGCCTGAACCCAGGAGGCGGAGGTCGCGATGAGATGAGCCGAGATGGCGCCATTGCACTCCAGCCTGGGTAACAAGAGCAAAACGCCATCTTAAAAAAAAAAAAAAAAAAAAAAAAAAAGCCAAAATATCAAAGTAAAAGTGGGAAATCTAAGAGGTAACCAAAAAGCAAAGCCAGCATTTGCCTGAGGACACATTCAAACCCCCTCCCACACCTAGTGACTTTGAGTTTCTGCTTTCATGAATGCTCGATTCTGGTGACATAAAGCTTCCATCAACATTGGAAGTCTAGTTGGACCACGCCTGCATAAAGCTGGTAGATAAATAATGGTCTCCAAAAATGTCCATGTTGGCTGGGCGCAGTGGCTCACGCCTGTAATCCCAGCACTTTGGGAGGCCGAGGTGGGTGGATCACGAGGTGAACAGATCGAGACCATCCTGGTCAACATGGTGAAACCCCGTCTCT